ACCGAAGCCAGCACAGAGATGTGGCGCACGTCGGCGGCAAAGAAAAGGAGCCTACAGTTATACCTCGAATACAAGCAGGCTCCAGACCGTGAGCCATTTTACAGGGGCGACCGGGAAAGCGCCCTCCTGTTCCAAGCCAGGACGGGGTCACTGCCCACGCGGAAGCGGCATTGGGAACTGTTCGACACGGACCCGTCGTGCCGCCTATGCGGGGCCACGGAAGAAACCATCCAACATATCCTGATGGATTGCCCGCGACTCGGAGCGAGGGACCTACCCAAGATAAACCTGGCGGAATATCTGGGTCTCCCAGATGATCCCGTCGACACCCGAGTCGAACACACCGAGAGTGCCAAGCGACGTCTAAAACTCTGGGACAGACTGTGCTGGCAGGTGGACAAACACCCCGACAGTGTCCAGCGCAACGAAGGGCCGACAGAAAATATCTAAACGACGCCGACGCCACTGGATAGACTTGGCCGAGGGCACGTTTCCCCTGGTGGCGAAACGGGCAATTTACTACCAGACCTTTCTTTCTTCGAACAGTAAAGTGGAAAACGTGTGAGTGCGTGTTCGCGTGAAGTGCGTGTAAAACACAAAATGTTTTTTTTTTTTTTTTTTTGACGGTGGCGCGGCAAGCGCCTGACTGGTGATGTGTGTGTGCGTGTGTATGGATGTGCGTTGAAGCGCACAACTTTGTCCTGTGGCGCTGCTGGCGCCTGCCCTGTGCCAAAAGGGATTAGGAGCACCTACTTACTTACTTACTTACTTACTTACCAACTTCGACTGGAAGTAGCATAGAATACATCAAGCCAGCTCATTGGAATGTCTTTGTGTTCATTGTATTCAACATATTGTAGAGAGAGTCTGCGCACAGTGGTGGGCACAACAAGACTGGTTGATTGATTTCAAATGGAACTCTAGCGTGCAGTGTTGCCAGACATTGCTCTAGATAGCGCACAGTGTTGTCCTGTTAATGGCTCATTGCAGTCATGAAGATCAAAGCATTTGTCACATTCTTTTGGAGTACGAGAAGTACGCAAGTGAAAGAGAAATGTTAAGGGAAAAACTAGCAATCTTGGACATACAGCCCCTCACATTATTAAATTACTCGAGCCATGGCCTGGGATTCATTTTCAGAAAAAGGCAAGCATCTTCCAGAGAGACTTCTCAGAGGAGACGGGACTGAATGAGCACTTGTGATATGCAGCTAGAGTTTGTGAATATATTGAATATGGAATGATGTGCTACTGCATGTACTGTGAGTATAAACATAAAGGTCTGTGTGTGAACGTTTTATGGATGTGTGGCGGCGGCTGCATTTCCGATGGAGGCAGAAATGTTGTAGGTCCGTGTGCTCAGATTTGCGTGCACGTTAAAAAACCCCAGGTGGTCAAAATTTCCGGAGCCCTCCCCTATGGCGTCTATGATATTCAGATCATAGTTCTGGGACGTTAAACCTCACAAATCAATCAATCAATTTATGGAAGAGTGAACACCGGCAAGCACGCTGTATATCGTCATTTCATTTCAGCTTGTTTCAGTGTGTTACTATGGACTTCTTTTTTTTACAATTTCGGTACCATTCCTTATTTTCGATTTGTTGTCAAAACTTATCCATATGCAGTAGCCGACATAATGTGAACCTGAACCTCTTCACAGAAAAACAGCTTTACCAGAACAGAACACATCTTTCATTTTGATGTGATTTATGTGTATGATTGAGGTGGTAGACATGTCCAGCCAAACACAAGGGACAACTCATATGGACGTAGGCGATAGTTGGCTGTTTCTTATACATGCGTACACATGGAGTGGCACTATAATAAATTCCTCCTTTCAACTCGTCTAATATGGACATACTTGGGCCTCGAAGCTGGATGCGAAGTCCAAGAGTACGTCACAGTGTTGCACACAAGTGCCACCTCGACCAACGAGCATCTTCTCCTCTTATGCCTTACAGGTCATCCCACCTTTCCGTGCGCGAGCGTGAGAGGCACGTGTTCTGCTGTCTGAAGAACTGCGAGCTGGCACAAAGTGATGCGGAAGCTAACACAGCGGCTCACCGGCTCACGTGGTGGAAAGCGCCTTGGGGCAATCTCTCATTTGTTTTGTCTTCGTTCGCTAAACAATTCATACCGATAGCGATTCCGCTCAACACAGGAGCAGGCGCCTGAGAGCAAAGCTCTAAAAAACATCGCACAGATCAGTCTGTAAAAAGAACCCCCGAATTGTATGCAAAGCAGCCATGTGTCGACTTCACGTTCGTAAAGAGGCTCTCAATTCATCACCGTAGACGCTCATGGTAGCACACGCAGCTGCTTTGCGAGCCCTCGCCTCCATCACACTCGTCCTCATGTTTTCATTCTACTACGCAGTGTGCGTGAGAGAGCGGAATGGCCGCTTTTGTAATACAAAGCAACGTGGCGTCGCTAGTGGTCGCCACTCATACAAGAGCACACGCGCCGAAGTGGAGCCAGCGCTCTGCAGCAGTGCAATCTAATTGGTGCTCCGAGTTGGTCGGAGCACCATCACTCGCTCTCTGGGTTTCGTGCCGACTCGTTGTGCCCCCGCAATGTCTGACGACAGCGCAGCTCTGGCCGACTGGGCTCGCCCTACACCATCTCCTGACGCCGACAAGAGCTCTCGCTGAGTGGTACCTCGTCCTCATATTCCTGAGACCATGTCCATCTTTCCTATCTCCTCTTTACTTCCGTCATTTTCTGTGGTTCGCTGTCCCTGCGCCACGCTCTTTTCTTTCTTCTCTCTATCCATATACCTTTTAATCCTATCCTTTTAATCCCTCCTTATCCCCATACCTCGTGAGCTACTGTTGAGGTGTCGCACTTTGATGCAGACAGTTACGGGGCTTACTTTTCTCTTCTTTTCTCTTTAAGAATCACGCAAGAAGAAAAAGAGCACCATAGCTAAGACGGCGGACAAGGGCCAAACGCCGACCTCAGCTGCTTCGCATCTAAAAAAGGACTGCGTATGCACTTGACCCCACAGGCGTTGCGCGAATACACTTATGGCAGGCACATTTGATATGCAGATAATCGTACTGAAGCGTGCACTTCCTTGCGATAAACAAGACGGTTATCTGTAACGTGACGGCCTACGCTGGTCATCTAACCTGGTGCCCTAAGCAGATGGCAGTAATACTTATGAACCAAAACCACGATGTAGTTATGAGAGACGCCATATAGGGGACTACGGAAATTTTGACACTGTGGGATTCTTCAACAGAGACGTAAACCTAAGCACATGGCGGGTCTAATAAGCTTCACCTCCATTGAAAGTTCAGGCCTACGCCTTACATCAGCTGGCGTCATGACTTTTACGCATCGTGTATTTGGCGTGCCCGGCCAGCCAGTGACATGCGCACATCTACTCAATTTACAACGAGACGTCGATGCTCTTCATGAGTCTTTACCCAAAAAGAAAATATTCCACATAGCCTGCCAGTCACTCACTGCTTCACGAACTGACTCCCAAAGTTAGTGGTTTCTAACACAATTTTTCAAATATATGGGCTTGATCAAAGAGCTTCGTATGATGCACATCAAAGCGGGTGGGATGATTTCAGTCACCGCGTTTCATGATTTGGCGCGTTCGTGTTGAATTCGTGCAAGTTTATTCTGCTGTATGCAGCTAGCGAGAAACAGCGACATGACGTCTCGACCAACTCTATTATGCACTGTTTCTCTCAGCCTCTTTGAGGACAGGTACTTTAATCTTTTCTATTTTACATAAACAATCACTGGAACATAAACAACCACTGAAAGGGCGTACACTCTCTCTTTGTCATTTGAGAGCAGCCATAGTTGACTGTACAGGTTCCACTCTGCAGGTATAGAAGCTAATCTAAATTCAAATACATTACCAGCTATTCTTTGAGTGAACACGGTTTAGCCGGGGAACAATCCACTCAGAGCTAGCGCAACAAGCGCCGCCATGCACCGAAGCGCAACGGTCCATCTGCATATCAACCAACGCGAAATATTTCACGTCGTCTGCTACAGCGCTGGGGCGCGCGGCTCCATAGTAGCCGCCATTATATACTTTCCTGCACTATTAACTTGAGGTAACGCTGTCATTTACACCATTCAACCGCTATGAGAGTGGTGGCTGAGTGCTTTGATTTGCCTATTCTTCGTTCTTGCAGCTTCAAACGCATTTGTGGCTTGAATCATTGTAGGGTTTCGGCCTTCTTTTCTGATAAGAGGACGACTGGTTGAGAACCTCGAGAGATGGTTGAGCTGAGTCAAGAATGCTCAAGGGGGTTGCAGCATTTCGTCTTCGGACAAAAAAAAAGCGCTATCTCTGTTTTGACAAAGATAGCTCTGACAGATGCTCCTATCAAAATGTCGGCCAGCCCATCGGAGGCACTTGTCTTCGTTTTACCTATCCCAGTACGTGTTTTCATCTCTCGACTGCAATCTCAAAAGCGGCTGCAGGCCACATGGAGCAAAAAAAAAAGCAAAGCTCATAAAAATCGATGTACTGCTCACCGTTCTCATTCTGGCTCAAGAGCCATACGAGGCAGCTTCTGTTGTAGGCCCGTGTACTCAGATTTGGGTGCACGTTAAAGAACCCCAGGTGGTCAAAATTTCCGGAGCCCTCCACTACGGCGTCTCTCATAATCAAATGGTAGTTTTGGGACGTTAAACCCCACAAATCAATCAATCAATCAATCAGGCAGCTTCTGTAGGCACTCCAGACCAAGGTTTCCTATAGTGTACTGCCCTGATACACCATAGCTGCTTTATTTGTCTATACTTTATACACATTTAGGAGCAAACTAGTGGGCACCGTCACTGCTTCAACTCGAACGGTAGCACAGGATGCGCTGCGGCATCGCAGAGTGCAGCGTCGGAAAACCATGTTAACCCTACAGGGTTAACCTAACTATACCTACCACTGCTCTTGCAGAGCGTAAAGGACTGAACAATGCAAAACTTGATTTGAAAGCTGGGCAACTGTTTTTTTTTCCTCTGCAGGGTTGAGTACGAGAGAGGAAATATGCGAGGCTGGCGCCCATTTGTTCCAGAAGTATGGTCCCATTGTGAGAGAGAAATTCGCCGGACGCTACACAGTTGTGCACTTGTTCAGCCCGAGAGATTTTCACACAGTGTTCCAAGAGGAAGGGGAGGCGCCTTTTCGAATCGGAATGGCCGCTTTGAAGCACTACAGGGACAAGGTGCCCAAGGAGTACGCTGATGCCAGCATTCTTCACCTGTGCGTACTATTTTTAATGCTATCAAGAAGAAAAGTATGCCACAAAGTAAGCTACGTTGAAAGATAAAATGCTACTTTCAGTTCCTAACGCAGTTACGTGAAATTATAGTTGTTTCAAGGACGCAGTGTTAGTAACACGAGACATAAACCTAAAGATTTTGGAAGTTTAGCTGCCGTATTCTTCGTAAATGGGCAAAAGGAGCCCATGGTAATAGGCTTCAGATTAGTTTGAACGAGGAAGGTGTGCTGTAGTGCTCATACAAAGCACGTCATCCAAGCTTCTCTTGACATTGTGTAACCGTACTTCGTTCACTCACGTACACTCATATGAAATCGGATCATTTGAAACACTGATTCACAGTATTCTATACACGATACATTGTTTACCATAGTTGTTTTTTAAATTTTCACAATATGTAGGTTAAAATGACACTCCAAATTACATGACAGATTATTGAAACTGGGTGCTTTTCTTTCTTAAGGTGTTATTTTCCAACATATCCCATCAATAACCGAAAGGAAAAGAATTTGAGGCCGTATGTTCTGGCTATTTCTAAACTCTGCGAGCAATATATGGTAACTAAGTGCAAGTGGTCGAGCTACTCAGCTTCAACTTTAAATATTATCAGGGGTGTTGCGTCCCAAACTACAATTTCTTCATGAGAGACTCTGTAGGGGTGGGTACTAGAAATTTGGACCATCCGGCGTTTTTTAACGGGGACTGACATCGCAGAGAACACTTGCCCCTAGCTTTGCGCATCCACTGATTGCAAAAGCTGCGGCCACGGGATGGCACCGGTGACATTTTGGTCAGTAGCTATGCACCACTGCCTCTTATTTGCCGTGGCGAACTAATAACTCGGCTTGTGAAGCGTTAAAATTTCTGTTCTACCTATTTATTTACGTATGTATTTTAGCGAACGCTGCACGTTTTCAGAATACATCAGTATATTGTTTTCCGTGTGTATTATGCCGTTTTTTATTAGATTGCAGCTATAGGCAATATAATGACGCTATAATGTTGAACTCGTATTCGTTAGTGATTTTATCATATTATTTGTGGCTTCCAACGTATACTGTTTTTTCTACTACACGTGGTATGGCCATAATCTGTTCGCACAAAATAATGAATGTTTTGTATTGGACTGTTCTGACGGACCAAACGAGAACGCATAGTGTACAGAAGCAATCATTCTGAAGCTGTAGTATTCCGCAAGCTAGGTATACTCTAGGCTATACAAAACAATGCTTGCTGCAGGCTTGACTCCTGACTTCTCTCCTGATATTATTGTTTTCATTCTATCTTGGCAGCCAAGGTGAAAAGTGGAGCCGACTGCGCTGCGCTACGCAAGAACATGTGCTCAGGAACCAAGCCGCTTCGTCGTATGTGTCGGCCTTGAACTCTGTTGCCCAAGATGCGGTCGACATAATCGATGACTTGACTGACCAGCGAGGAGAAATACCCGACTGCTTTTATTTTATGCGCCGATGGGCCCTAGAAAGTAAGCAATACTCGCAATCACTAGCGTACTTCTTGTCTTTTAATTGGTCTCAATATCTCGTTGAACACACTTGAGTAAAAGCTGGAAGCACTGCAAGCAGAAGAAACCGAGTGCTTATCCTGATATTTGGGCAAACTTTTATTAGAATTTCTAGCAACATACATGCAGCGGTGATAGTTACCTGTAATATAAGCAGTATTAAGACTCAACATGAAGGCTACATCTCTTCTGTTCACAGCTATCTCGGCCTGACAAACACTTTTGTATATACTGTTCGTATTTGAGTTGTTTGCTTCGTTTGTTTATATAGAAGTAACACGTACAATAAAGCTTCTCTTCTTGAACTTTTGAAACGAAGCACCTGCTCGAACGCCAGCGAGGACACGCAACTGTACTTGGCTTCTGGCGACGACTCTTCGGATGACAGCTTCGAGACCGTTAGAAGCAGGAAGGCCAAACGAAGAATCGTCAAGCCATCTTCATCAGCCGGGACATTAACTAGGAAGTCAAAAGAACGCTAGCCGCACACTATCTTGCTTGTACCCGAAGGCCCCTTCATTAGCCTTCGAGCATAAACAGGCAAGCTCTCTCTGTGAACTATGAGGAGGTTGCACCAAACGAAATTAGGATATCTGTTTGAACCCGCGCAAGAATATTTTTGCTGTATACACACTATGCCTGCCAGTGCCTTAGACAAGCTATGCAGATTATCGGATTTCGCAGACACCGAATTCCGACCGATAATTCCAATGAATGATACCTGCATGGCGGTAGTAATCAATGACATTGATTCTGACATAGCGAGCTCGGATCTTCCAATTCTTATAAAACAAGCGAACGAGGAAGCTGTCATCACGAATTTACTTCGCCTCGAAAAACCCGCTGTGTAAAGATAATGCCCAAAAGGGATTCTATTCCGTCACATGTCCAGGTGGGACATTTAGGGCTTCATGTTCAGCATTTGTTCCTAAACATCTTCAGTGCCATAATTACGTGAAAATCGGACATGTCAATGGTGTATGGACGAACACCACAGTATGCCCACGATGCGCTGAGCCCCTCACTGCAAACGCATGTCGGGCAACAAGTCTGAAGTGTGAAAACTATGATGGTTCACATGATGCTGCCTCCAAGGAATGCCAGCGGATAAAGAAAGAAATCGCCATTATCAAACAAGTGCTCAGAGACAATTCATCGCACACGGAGGCTGCTGAAAGGATATAGTGCCTATGCAGCCGTCGTATACGTGCAATACAGGGTATCGCGCGTAACGCATCTTATTGGAACACCAGTATAACAGTAAGCACGAAGCGAAATGAGGTGGACAAGCTCATTTCTGCGGATGACTGACCTACACTTCCACGTACGCAGCCTGCGAAGGAGCCCCCTTTCATGCCTCCCCGCCCTACAACTTCCTCCGAGCCTACTTCCGTTGAGGATGCGTCAAGGGTAGTTCGATCGATTATCCCGATACTACAATCCCTGGTCGCTGTCATGGCAGACCGGCTGAGAAGCCTAGGAACTACTACTGCTCGAAGAGGCCAACAGGTGATGGACGCGTTGAGCTCAGTCCTCACCTGCCTCACTAGAGCCATGGCAGGATATCGACAATCGTTCCGCCAAGAGGTCAGAGAAGCATCAGTTATCCAGAAGAACGCAGGAAGGCTTAGATAAAGGATTTCTGATTTTCGTCAGTTCGCGTTCCTGAATTGTTTTCCAATCATCGGGATTTGAGAACCAAATTTAACAAACCCAATCAGACTATCAGTATACGTATCAATTCTGTCCCAAACCTCAAACAAAAGCAGCAAGGTCCTTGTGTACATTCGTCGCGAGCTTAGCTACATTAGTTATCCTGTGCCACCTCATGACAAAAACCACTATGTGTATCTGACTGTCAAACGAAAAACCCTCACCGTCCCATTAGTGTGCGTTTACCTATCCCCTTCAGCTCATTTTGACCAAAAAACACTGAATGACATACTTGCGAGTGTACTGTAGCCATGTATAATTACAGGGAACTTCAACACCCACCACCCAAACTGGGGAAACTCAAAATTCAATGCCACAGGCGGTAAACTGGCTTCATCTGTATCGACCCATTAACTTTTCTTTACTTAATGATGGGAGCCCTACATTCCTATGAGAGTCGATGTACAGCAGCTGCGTGGACCTGACATTTGTGCGCCGTCACTTCGCCACAAGCTTCAAGTAGTTTTTAGACATCGAGACGCATGGTAGCGAACAGATCCCTAGTTATCTCAACATCAAACGCTTCGCCAGTGGTCAACCACCGGAAACCATCCGGAGGATCGTTTTGTCTGTATTTACAACCAACATACAAGACGCATGTGTAAAAGGCTTATTTTCTGGCGTTGAGCAAGCGATCAAAGAAGCAGCGCAGAGTGTGATGTGCACGCTGACGTGCTCTTCAAGGCTCTCGGAAATGGACGTGGAATTAGAGCGACTTTGCATGATTCACCGGCGTGCGGAGCGCAAATATTGGTGCACAAAGTTAATTGAAGATCTGCGTATAGCAATGCGCGTGTAAAATAAGATCCAGGGTCGTATCAAGAAACTGGAGTTCCAACGATGGGCGAAATTTTGCGATTCTCTAGGCCCTCGCAAACCACACTCTCAAATAAGGCAAACCGTGCGAGGCCTACGCACATTTCCCGAACGTTTCCCAATAAAAGCTTTGGCACTTTTACAAAATAGAAAAGAATTCGAGAAAGCGCAAGATTTTTGTAGGAAGATTGCAAACCCATGACTATGCACAGGAGATCTTGCTGCTGATAACGCACCACACTCCATTGATCCGTGCATGGACATACCTTTTTCAATGGAAGAGCTCACGCAGCTCTTGCTTCGTGAAACCGATTGTCGTCGCGCAGACCTGATGGTACATCATACCGTCTTCTGTTCCAACTCGATTATTGCGCACGCAGTGCTTTACTGCACGAGTTTATTGAGTTTTGGCGAGCTGGAGCTCTTTCCGGAGAATAGAAAACACGCCGTTTGGTCCCAATTCTCAAACCTGAAAGATCACCTCTAGAACTGACGTCATACCGACCAATAGTGGCTAGCTGCGTGGGCAATCTATGGCGCGAATAATACTTGCCAGGCTCGAGTGGTTCTTAGAGCGCTGCAGAGCATATCCAGATGCCATGGCCGACATGCTCGCGAAGCCATACTTCACGCCCTTGAGTCAGTTAGTTGGCTTGGGTGGTGAGTGTACCACTGGATCTTCTGCTACCTTCATGTGAGATCATTGTTTAAGGAAACTGATGATGAGCTGGCATCTGAGCAATACATACACTGTGGTGGTCCCCAACGTTGTGCATTGAGCCCCACACTATGTAGTCTTGTTATGTTCGGCCTCGTGGAAACTATAGCAGAGTCTGTGCAGATATATATCTATGCAGACAATGTTGGAGTTCGGACATCTAGTGTAAAACGTCCACAGATACGTGCGACACTTCAGAAAGCACCAAACTCTATTTTGGCGTACCTTAGAGAACAACACCGCAGAATTTCTTCACACAAATTGGCGCTGGTTGCTTTCACGTGGAAGGCAATGACGTCATATTCTGTCACCATGATGGACAATGTCAGCTACACAAGCACACACATGTTTTTGGGAGTCACCAATGATTGAAATCTCTGCTGGAGTCCCCATGTGACCACTCTAAAAAAGCGCCTAACAGCCATTGTCCAACTTTTCAACTTCCTCGGAGGAAAAAAGTTGGGCATGTCAGTACACGCAATGTTGCAGCTATACAGGACATTGTTCCTGGGGTACCTGCAGTACAGCTTGCCTCTTTTGACGAACACCTGCAAAAGTAGCATACGAATAATTGAAGGTGCCCAGGGTCAGGCACTTAGGCTTTGTCTTGAACTACGACGCTGCATGTCCACAGCGGAGACCATCGCAATCGCTAAAGATCATCCGGCCTCAGTGCACATTACCCTAGAGATGTTTCGAACGACACAACCCCCAATTCGCTTCGCTTCCAGAAGACCGAACGAGTGCCTCCTTCTCTAAACGTCTGTTGAGTTACCGTGAGTACCTTCCGTCAGGTTACACACTTCCGGAACGTATCCTAATACCCCCTTCGTGTTGAACAGTCTGAACCTACGCTTGACAGTGCCAGGAATTCGCAAAAAAGGCGGCTCTCTCGACACAGCTTTGAAGCAGCTGACTCTACTTATGCTGCACAAAGAATACAAACATCACGTTAAAATTTCTACAGATGGTTCGACAAATGTTGGGGATCTGCAGGAGCTGTGATCTTCCCAGCAAACGCCGAAACCATCCAATTTCGAACGACTCACAAAACAACATTGATAGCCGCAGAGCTCGCAGCCCACCGTCGTGCACCCCGCCAGATTGAACAAGAAGCACCTTTAAAATGATGCATTTTCACCGATTCAAAACCACCTCTGTATTGTACTCGAATCGCGCTACGTCATGGACCTCATGACGAATTGGTGCTGGAAACATGACAGTTGTATTAATAAGTACTACAGAAAAAAAAAGTGATGTAACTTTTCAATCATTACCAGGCCACTACGGAATCGCCGATAGCTAACATGACGACGATGCAGCAAAGAACGCTCACAAAAACGGCATCATAGATTCCATTCTATTGTCAAAAAGCGACGCAGCGGCAAGGAATAATACTCTCGCGAACGATGTCGTCAGGTCTCTGTGAAACACGCTTGTATTTTCACACACCCGTCTTCACCGTCTGGATCAAGAGAGATAAAGATGCAAGGAAAGGCAGGGAGGTTAACCAGACACACATCCGGTTTGCTACCCTGCCCGTCTGGATCAATATCTACAACTTTCCTCTCCATCTGGGTTATCAAAGTCTGAGACAACCGTTTTCTGACGCATGTGGTTTGGGGTGTCTTGATTGATTTGTGGGGTTTAACGTCCCAAAACCACCATTTGATTATGAGAGACGCCGTAGTGGAGGGCTCCGGAAATTTTTTGACCACCTGGGGTTCTTTAACGTGCACCCAAATCTGAGTACACGGGCCTACAACATTTCCGCCTCCATGGTTTGGGGTGTCTTACATAAACGCATTTGCTGTCCGCACAGGCTGGGAAGACATTTCTCCGTGTGACCATTGCGACGCTGACAAAACCATCGAACATATTTTGTGTCAGTGCCCTCAGTACAACTATCAGAAATAGTCCATGTCAGCAGTGTTTGCATGTCTGACGACCAGCCGCTTTCTGAAAAATTAATTTTGGAATGCTGGAAAGACTGAGCTTCACGCCAAAAAGCGACGAAGGCCCTACTAAAGTTTCTGCAATCGACCCACCTCGTCGAACACTTGTGACAACCTAGTGTGTGTATGTATTTTCGCTTCTCTCCCACTCTATTTCTCTCATTCTCTTTTTTATTACTTTTCTATCTCCCATTCCCCCTTTCTCAGTGGAGGGTAGCAAACCAGATAGTGCTTTGCGGTTAACCTCCCTGCCTTTCTTCATACCATCTCTCTCTCTCTCTCTCTGTTTTTGAGCTTTTAGTACGTATTCCTATGCAAATGAAAAGAAAGTTCTATTCCATTCCCCCATCACCTAAATGCGCGAGAGGAGACTGAAAAAGCTGCAGAGATTTTCGGAAACGGAGGGGTATTTCACCGAGTGTCAACTTGGATTACCAAATTTAGTAAGGCGTCACAGTGCTTGCCGTCATAATTAAAACTGATACGTCCATTTGAAATCATTGTGAGAAATGTTTTCTTAGCTTCGAGCTTCGAACAACAGGCGCAAAGAATGGGCTGGCGAGATTATATTGAAGAGTTAGAAATGCAAGGACTTTCTATGATTCACCTTAGACACATTGTTCATAATTCATTGACGCTTCGAGGACCTCATTTACACTGGTGAAAAACCTCATTTACACTGGTCGGAGAAAATGGGTCATCGTTACCTTATTATGCACTGTGAAATAGTTGACATTGAAATATACTTGACAAAGAACGAGGCATAAATCTTAAGCATGTGCTCAGTTTGTCGCAGCGCACCCTTTTTCGTAACATGTTAATGTATGAGGCTGGCTTGCTACCCCCAACTCTCACCCTGATTGACCCCCCCCCCCCAACCCGTGCATACGGCTATAAATATATCACTATCTGCGACACGAGCTTTGCAGCCACCGTAGGAATAAAGAGAAACATACTTCTGCACCTCCACGATTTGCATACGTTACGCGGTGAAGCATACGAGCTCCCCTGCTTCATTTAGGCCTTTGCATAGGCGTGGATAAAGGCTGTGATCGAATTGGTAATAGTCCACAGTTTCACGGAACGAACACACCAGATTGGATTCAAGGTAGTCCTCATCGGGGATTTGAAGGTACCACTGTCACGGGGCAGGGTGCGTTTCCTGTATTCTCTGAGGTCCTCGAAACCTCATTTGAGAAACACTGTGTTAGCGCATCGTTTAGTACAGCCTCAATACTGATGGACATCATAATCCCGCTATATTAGTCCACCTAGAATCGACACCAAGTCACTCTTCTTTCTTGGGCAACTCCCGGACTCACACTGAGGCCTCGATACCCTGGTTCTCACATACGTTTCAGGGTTGGCCGGATATTTATCTGCCGACAATGGACCACGCATAACGCCATAAGAGACAAGCGGCCCGCTTGAAATCCCCCCGAATAGCCCCAAGAGAGCTTCGTAGACCACCTGAAGCTTTTTCTAGAAAAGAAACCGTGATCTTGAGCCAAGCACAAACATATTCTCTGCCGAATGACTTTACACTGCACAGAATTCAACAGGCCCCGAATACACCTCATTGCCAAAAGTGCGGTTCAGTACCGACACCATTCCACACATATTGGCACTGGCCCAGAGCCACTACATCACAACGTTAATCACTTCGCTATAACATACATGGAAGGCCTGGGTCGCGAATATGAGCGAAACAACCTCATCGTGGACAATTCTCATTAACCATATACGTACCATCTTCGGACAGACTATTTAATCCTCACCCTAGAGCTCAGACACGGACTTGAGTTTTAAACTTAAAGGTTTTTTTCTCTCTATTTTCTCCCTCATTTCCACACACTACTTCGGCTTGAAAGTATGATCAATGTCACTAGATCACCGCGTATGGCAAATAAAGTAGAATGTAGAACTTCTACGCCACCACTGAAATGGCGACAATCATTGGCTTCGTAGCAATGTTGCTCTGAGAGAATAGCAGAAAATATTCGTACTCAAATGAGAATAACAGGAACTTTGCAGCATCTCGGTAGTGGTAAAGCTGGAATACGTCTGCTCGAAAATGTATGGACTATTTTCAAATATTCAATATTTTTTTGCAGGCATAACGCTCATTTGTATTGGCCATCGCCTGGGAGCCATATCACCTGTAAGCCCACTGCTTTCGCAAGAAAGTGCATCTGTGTTGGACGAGATAATGACCTCACTTCACTGCTTGTCAGCGTTCGCTAAAAGCTTCCCATATTATCGGTATTTTCCAACCTTGATGTGGCGAAAATTCCAACGGGCCATGGATGACTACACGGCGTAAGCAGAATTTTTTCTTGAAATATATATATTACTGGAGTTATTTCTTTCAAGCAAACATTAACAAAACTTTTTCAACATTTACAATTTGTTTCGCGTTATCAGTTTACGGGATCTTTCAGCGGTAATAGAATCGCATTATGCTGCATTCTGTTACGGATCACCGAAGGTTTTGCTACTGCTTCATATCAGGATGTCCCCTACTCAATCATACATTGTACAGGAAATATCTAACATGCTCTATCTGAAGAAGCACGCAGCATGTATACACGATGACTCCGAAATGTTCGATGATCATCGGTTGAATTAAAAAAAGGCCATGAGAGGTGGTATGCACCGGAGGGGCGCTCATTGGTTTTAACGCAAGGCAGGATTTGCGAATGACGTGCCTAAGCGTGCCAATAATAAAATGGACGTTTTAAAGTGGTTCCACGTGCAGTAGAATACAACGTGGCTGGACAGAAGAGAGAGAGAGAGAGAATAAACTGAGGTAAAGGCACGGAGGTTAACCAGAAATTGGAGCATCCAGTTTGCAGCCTATACTATACGACGATTGTGTAGCGGCCCCATCAAGTTCTCAGGATGCTTCCTGTTCTTGATGTTGTCAGATTCCACTGAGTTGTCAAATTGAGTAGTGCAGTCATTTGAAAGTGATCGCCGAAGTTGTCTGGGCTAGTCACAACAATATTCTGGGCCAATCAAAGCTGACAAGAGAGCGTATCAACATGGTCTGGAGAAGCAGCATTTGAAAGGAAAAAAAATAAGTGAGAGCGTTACATGACAGCATTTAGTCATACTCGTAAGATATTTCAATTAGGGGTGAAATAGGTCATGGACACATTATAAGAAAGCGCTTCTATTGGTCGGATCGCTTTATCTGCGTCTGCAGTGGGTGCTGCCGAAAGGTCTGCGGTTCAAACAGAGCCTGGTGCATCAGAATCTATGTTCCTTTTGCGCCCAATTACGGTTGCGCTTCTCACGTGCGAATTGTCGAGAGGTGAAAACAGACGTGTCAAGATACGTCATGTGACTTATACTACCCTAGCAGTCGCTGGTTCATTTCTCAAATACCTAAATTTTAGCCTCTTCTACGTATAACAACCATATTATTGTGTCACGAGACAGCGTATCATTCCGACGTGCACTGAATCATACATAGTAATATGGGTATATTTAAAAAAAGTGTTTGAGTGACAATCACAGGCATGCATTTTTATTTTGTTTTCTCTGAAGCCCTGTAGCGCTAGGATTGAAGAGTACCCACGTAGACAGGATATAGGGTGACAACACATTCGACAGAACTGCCATATTTTTATTTTTTTACGGGCACGCAGATACGCGTTGTGCCAGACACTTTGAATATGCTAACCGAGTAAAAATTATATTTCTACAATGTTATGCGCCTTTCTGTCGCCAGTTTTATGAGTCAGTTCAAGAGATGGCGTCCACGTCAATGACTTTAGCCCAGTTTGGCGGTCACCTTAACAAATGGTGTCTCCACCTAGCTCCCAGCAAAATCGGTAGTGATTTCGAAGTATAATGATTCCGGCCGATAAATCTGGCCCTCGTATGAAATGCTGGGTTGGTGGCGTGAAGAACTGCCGGCACTTGGGACTAAGTCAAGCAAATTTTGGCACCGCAGAGCTGGTCATCTCTCTATCCCAAAGGTTTTCAAACTTGGTTTCACGGAAATCCAAATTCTATAGGTTTTCGTGAGTGGGCGGTACTAGCACGTTTCATAGAGAAATAACTTATTTTGGCAAGAAAATTTACATTGGACTTTGCAATAACGATGCCATCCCTCACAGTCCACATACTCATATGAAGAATAACGAGTGACCTACATGAACGGTGGCCGACTAAAATTGCCGTCTAGTGCGGCATGCAGCTTTAACGATTTGCAAACATGTGAAGACAGAACATTTTGAAGGCTGGTAATTCATTTTTGTGTGCGCTGAAGTTACTTAAAACGGCGCTTTATTGATAGCTCATGGAGCGTCGGCGATCTCGTGCCACAGTTTTTATTCACGATGACATGACCCTGACTTATGTTGGTTTTGTCAAAAAACGCGCAATGACGCAGCTTATTTTCGAAATTCGATGCATTCTCTACACTTCACACGAGAAAGGGCACAATGTGACATTTTTGTGGCTGCCAAGTCACTGCAGCGTCATAGGAAACGAACATGCCTATACTGCCGCACGGGCAGCTCTTAAAGGTACACGAGAAGAAGCCATACCACTTTCGCGGACCGATGCTGCCAGTAATCTTCTATGCCTTGCGCGGAAAATCACGCTTTCACTATAGTGTTCACCAAGCAACCAGACTACCTAGACGAATCATCAACACCACCTGTCTTCTTTGATGGCTCTCCGCATTCCCACTGGGTTCGACCGAAGAGAAGCCACCCTTCTTCATCGCTTATGGCTAGGAGTGGCATTTACAAAATCTTATTCATTTATCACAGGAATGGCCGACAACGCTCTCTGTGATGCCTGTCGTTGCGAAGAGACGCTAAACCACATTCTGTGCAACTGTCCGTTCTATGGCATTCAGAGACAGTCACTGACATCCTATCTTGCGCGCATCGACAACAGTCAAATGTCTGTGGAGACCATTCTTTCAAGTGCCCGAGAGAAGACATTGCAACAGATTGCGACAAAATCACTGTTGAAATTCCTATGCGACACGGACTTGAACAAGCGGCTGTAACAGCAATGTCACACACCACGAAAGACAAGACTGGACTATGACAAAGTGCGTGCGCATGTGCTGCTTCATGTGGTGTGTTTATCTCTGATGCCTCTCTCCTCTCTATATTTCATCTTCCCCGTCCGCCCCCTATGCGCAGGATTGCAAACTGGCTGCCTATAGACTGGTTAACCTCCCTGCCGTTCTTTTTCTCCTGTTTTCCTTCCTTGATACGCATAAGACGCGTCGCTTCGTATTGGTTGTGGGCGACAAGAGCATTTAGGCTGAGTCACGTCCAGTATATCGGGTGATGGCTGTTTCACAGCACGAGTGGCATGCCACCTTTTGTTGTTTTGCAAATAAACAAAGAGGCCTCTGTATGCCCTGCACTTCGTATACTTGAAGACATCGCTGGCACTGCGTGGTTCGTGAAGAAAGCAGTGTGTGGTTGGCGAGCGCTCGACGCGCTCGACGGTGCGGCGAAGGGAGGAATGGCAAGTCTGTGTATTGAGGTAGTTCCACGTCAACGCCGAAAAACTTCGATATTCAAAATAAGAGAACATGCCAACGCCAGCTGTGTTAACGCCATGGCTGCTCGTGTAAGAGGCATAAGGACGTAGCCTCCTACCACGCTTTACTTTTGATTGTTAATGCGTCAAAAAAGGTCTCGCGGCGCTCTCCATGCAAGAGCCGTTGGTGTTCCCCGAGGCCAGAAAACTCGCTCGAATCTATGGGCTAACGCTTGTCCATGCTTTATCGTGCTGGTTCTTGCGAGCTTTTGTTCTCTTGAAACTTGGTTCTGCTTGATGATCAACCAAATCCACTATGCCAAGCTTCGTCCGACCTTGTGTGAACTTCCCACAATTTGTTTTGTCTCTGTTCATCTCTCTCTCAATTCCTGTTTGTTCGTACGAGAGCGTTTTATGTGGAAATTCACCCAGTCTTCAGTGACATATTTTCCATCACGGTAATGCTGTAGAAAAATAAGCACAGTCAGTCACATAGAGAAAAAATGTTGCGTCAATGGGTGTCGAAGCCATGACCTCTTGGTGCACAAGAACAGATGTCAGGCAGGATATCCACCGCGCCATGGTGAAACACTGTGACTTTTGTAAATACCAATTTTCTATCTACCATTGTCCTGTCATGGCGTTCTCGGTAAAGAGCAGTAACGAATCATGTGCGTGACATCCGCGATTAGTATTTTCAATGCATCGTTTTTAAACATCCGTCCTATTTGGTTCACCTTCAATAACCAAAGTTCAATTTGGACAACGCCTTAAAACAACCCCAGGTGGCGACCTTACCCCAGTGTCAGCGTGGTTTATAGCCCAAGCGTCAGCGTTGCTCAATACTACTAGCATCTATGACCTCAAGGGTTTCTTTTTTCCTAAATGATGAATGTTAGGCTTCGGGATGGAGCTGTATGACTAAGCATCAATGTAGGTGCATCCACATCCTCATTAAACGGTCCTGTAAACTACCTCTGAATTAAACCGCTTTACTTTCCTGTTTTACCGATTCCTGTGACGGAGTGATCAGCCATGTTTTTTCAGGGGCGATGCTCCTCAGGGTGTAGGTCGTTCCCTCTTCTGTAGTAGTAGTTGTAGCAGTAGCAGTTGTTGTTTGTTGTTGTTGTTGTTGTTGTTGTTGTTGTTGTATGTAGCCACCTCTATCTCATGAATTCCTCAGTAGATGGCAATGTGCGTACATACCCTTAGAAATATTGTAACGTACCTTTAGAAGTCCAGGTGAGGTTTATTAGATGAAGGAGTAGAGCAGCAGGACTCTTGCCGGACGTGTTGCTTGGGCGTGCACTCGAGAGACGGGTAGCAAGTGCACTTCTTTTGTGTCCTGTGCCTCTACATTAGCAAGTCACCCACTATATCCTAAGGGTGGCATTATTCCCTCCTCTGCGAAAAACAGCATCGCCTCGATGCTGCAAGGCAGATGTAAGAGAGAAACAGATTACGCAGCGCGATAACATAAGGATGATGAAAATCAAAGCTTGTGTAGTTGCAAGTTTAGGCATAATAAAAACAGGAAATGGTTGATAGGCGATATTATGAACGTGCATCATAATGTTTCATGCGCACGATATGAACTATGTCGGAGCTAGGTTGTCTTTGTTTTGTTTGAGTTGACAACCCACTGTCCAGAACTACCTCGTAGTTCACGTCACTCACGTGGCGCAGCGCCCTGTAGGGTCCAAAGTACCAGCTTAGCAAATTTCCCGAAAGGCCATGGTGACGAACAGGAGTCCGCACCCAAACTCAGTTTTCTAGACTGTAAATCACGTCTCGATGGC